ATGCCCCGTGGAAACACGGGTACCCAGTAATCTCGACGTGGTGCTATTCATGAGGAAACGAGCCCCCATGTGATTTGAGTAGATGAAATCCTGTTGACAAACCGTAATTGCGCTTCCAGCACTCTAGTTGTGCTGGAAAAGGACGCTGATAGACTCGCCGTGATGAACACGACGGATAGCCTCAGCAAAAACGGCCGAGATATCGAGTATCTCAAGCTTGGGGCAAAGACGACGATGCTCGTTTTGGGGAACAGAGTTGGTAACGAGCATCTTGTCAATGGCAGAAGCATTGATACGAGCGATAGCGTCGCCGCTGAAGACACCGTGGGTGACGAGGGCATAGACTTGAGTAGCGCCCTCCTTCTTCAGGAGCTTCGCAGCACGCGTGATCGTGTTACCAGTATCGACAATGTCGTCAACTAGAATGCAGATGCGGTTTGACACATCTCCAACTAGCATCATACTGGCGTTGCGATGCTCGGTAAATCGAATGGGCCGTCGCTCCTTTGTAGCAAGACATGAGTTTTCAAAAGCAGCAAAATCAGAATTCTGTGGTATTACCTTGTGAATCAGAGCAAAGTCAGTCTTGAGACTGTCCGCAATCAAAGTAGCTCGCTTTGCACCTCCAGCATCGGGGGACACAATGACAGCGGTGTGGTGGTTAGGGATTTGAGATTGGATGTAGTTCTGGAGTAGCGCCTTTCCGTACAGGTTATCGACAGGAATGTCGAAGAAGCCCTGGTACTGGGGATCGTGCAAGTCCATCGTGATAATATGATCGGCACCGGCGCAGGTGAGCAAGTCAGCAACGAGAGTACCAGCCTGAGCAATCCACTGCTTGTAACCAGGCTTAGGCTGGAAAGCAGAGATGTTGGACTGGTTCTCATAGTCGTGGGTAGTGTAGGCGTTCCTCTGGGAAGAGGTCGAGTTCTCTGCGTGGTGTCCACGGGCCTCGGAGGTGCTGCTCGAGATGGTGTCTGAGCGGCGAGGAGTGCTGAAGACGCCATTAGTGCCGTTAGCACCATTTGTCGCGCCCTCATTTGCGAGAGCTGTTTTTGAGAGCTTCTCGGTCAAGTTGTTGACACCATTGGGCAGGCCAGCTGACTTGGGGCCACCAGGACGAGGTGTGGGAGGAACACTCTCAAATGTGTAGTCTTTGGAGGAACCAGAAATCTGCGACAAAGGTGCGCCGGCTTTGTTATAGGGCCAGTCGGGTTGTCGCGAGTAAGGGAAGAGTGGGACAACGGCGGTGACTCGTTTCGCAGAACCAGTTTTGCAGGCTGAGATCATGATACAGAGATCAATGAGGTTGTCGTTCACGTTGCCGGAGCCAGATTGTATGATGTAGACATCTTTGCCGCGGACCGAGTCCTTGATTTCGCAGCGACTCTCTCCGCCAGAGAATTTTCCAAGAATGCGATTGCTCGCCGGAACACCCAGAATTTGGCAGACATTTTCTGTGAGTTGCGGGTGGGAGTTACCTCCCAGAACAACAATATTGCGCACCATGGTGAAGGTGAGGTTGTGTCGGTTTGTGGTAGAGGTGAAGGTTGCTGTCGGCTAGAAGAGCAAAAAGTTTTGATGCGGCGAAGGACGGAAGCGGAAAACGGATGTGGAGGGGCCCCGAATCGGAGGGGGAATGAGTACGTAGTTTTTTTTTTTTTCTTCCTCTGAGGGGGAAACGAGACCGAGTCAAGAGCTTCTAAAGCGGTGGAATGAAGTTTCGACTGCGGTTGATGAGACAAGGACGAGATGGAGAAGACCTGAGACAATCCGAAACAGGCCAGAGTGAGACTGAAGCCAGTCGAGATGGAACCTGAGGCTGGATTGAAAGTTTGCAAGTTTAAACTGTGTTGACGTCCTATTGTGAATTTTTTTTAAACTCGGCCTCTGTCGATGGCAGCCCCGGCTTCTAACCTAGGGAGCGCAACAACGGCAGTGTAGTGTGTGGAGTGGAGAGCTTGTGGATTTAGCGGAGGTGTGATTGGAAATAGGCCGTTCAAGTGTCGAACCGTGCTGGCAAGAGTTGGCTAGCCTGGCCTGGCCTGGCAAGCAAAGCAAGCAAGCAGTGTCCGGTACGGCACGGTAATGCAATGCGAAGCCGTGAACGCTGTACAGTACAGTAGCCGATGCCTGTTATTGACGGAATTGGGGAATCTGGATGGCTGCGTCCAGATAAAAATGTTTTGGCGGACCAACAGGGATTCAGGGCCGAAGTTGACGCACAGGAGAGTCGGACAGGGCCAAACCGACGTCACTGTGCTGTGCTGAGGAAGGCGGCTCAGGCTCAATGTGTTCAGTGCTCAGAAGCCAGATGACACGGCAGGGATCTCCAAGTAAACAGACGGTCTGCCGGTGTCGGAGGCTGTATAATTTTTTCGAGCAGATGGTATTTACTATCAGGTACTCGACAATAATTGTAGCCAGCTGGTATCTTTCTCCAAGGGGAAGATGTTGACGGAAGGGAGACTCCCAGAAGAACAACAGCCAACAAGCGACAATCGACGAAATAATAGTCGAGGATGGCGCGCGATGGTCGTTACGACGGCGGGCAGTCCCCGGGTGGAGGAGTGGAGATGATGGGGGAGATTGAAAAGAAGATCACAGACCCATTGTGTGAGATGCTAAATGCTTTTGTAGGCAGTGAGCAGTTGTATTTTGTGGGAGAGAATGAAGTTGGAGAGGTTGAGTTTATTTACGGCCAAATCAGAAAGTATCCGTTGAGCTCATTGTCAAAGTTGGGCTTGTAAATGGATGAATTAACGTTGGAGCCTGTACTGTATTGGATGTATGTAATGAGGTGATCGGGGAACCTCCAGCAACCAAAAATATGATGACATGGTGGCACCCGCCAAATTGACATTCCCACAGGGTAGACTTGCGAATCAGTAAGACACAACTGATGTCTTGATACTTTCCGATTTGGATATATCTGATACTTTGCGATATCTCATTCTTTTCTTATGGATTAGAACAAGTCCTTGTCTTGGCCATGTTGTGCATGAGATTTCTTCCAATATCTCTCGATATAATTAACATTCAACTCGAAAAGCCAGAGGTATCTATACATGGGTGACTGGTATCCACCCCCGCCAATTCTCATGTGTCCAGGGTACTCTAGAGTCAGGGCATCTGGAACTCTTCCGTTCTCCCTTTTAAGAACCCCATGGGCATGAATATATGAGAGATAAAAATAAAATGCATTTCCCAACACGGATAGCTACCAGTATTGCATACCGCCATTCATAACCCGAACGTCCCGTTCCCTTGGCCTTGATATCAAGTTTTATATGCGCAGAGCAAAACTCGGCCCTCCCGCAAAACAACTTTCTTCGTTACGCCGCGAATAAGGTGCCAATGAACTCTTTGGCTTGAATCCGGATGCTCAGCCTGGCAGGGGTTGTCAGTCATTTGATCTGTACCACCCCAAGTCTCAGAAGAACAGCCCAAAAGTAGACTATTATCTGAAGTTCCGTTCTTTGAGTAATAAATCACTACTGCTTAAAGGACCTAGATATCCTCCCATGTCCAAATTTCACGCCAAGGTACCACCAAACATAACCATTGTCTCAGCCTGGAACCTGTCGAGGCTTCTAGCTTCCTATTCTTCTGAAATGTCCGGCATCGGTTCACCTTTGTTCTGGAACAGTGGCTTGCATGCATGGCATGCCTTTTTCCAGCGGAGATGCACGCGACCTCCTTCTTCGAACATAGTGGCACGCAAAGAGCCAAGACAGATAATTTGATCAATTCTACATATTGTCCCGTTAGATGATGCCATTGGGTATCATATGACTCCTTGTTGGATCCTGTGCATGCATACTACCGCTACTGGTACATGCTCAAGATCCTCTCCAGCCTCTCTACCTTAGCGGATATCTCTCGGCTTCTCTCCTAACAATTGGAACCCCTTATTGGTTCGATATATAATAAGAATTCATTGGACGGGAAAAAAAGAAAAGAAAGGAAAAGCATAAACTGATGCACTCTGACGTGTGTGTCCAAACTCTTCCCCAGCTTTTAGCCAGACTCACATGCAAAAACATCCCGCGTTAAACTTCAAGTACTAGCTATGCCCAATAAGAGCCCGCTCCCAAATTCACACAAGGTAGCAGAAGCCAGCTTGTAAAGGAACAAGCTGCAGTGTAAAAAAAGAAGAGAAAATGGAAGCCTCCAGTGTCGCACAAGAATTACAGCACGTTCCAGGCCTGCATCCGTTGGAACTCCTCCCCTGAATTAGAGCCTGTCAAAACTACTGATCCTCTGATTGGCCAGCGCCAGATCTCATTCTTTCGCGACACTGGGCTCCACTATTTGATCTAGACCCGACCTTCATTCAATCCAATGCTTCATATCATATCAATCTCACAGCTCGTTACATGAGCTCACTCACCACTCACCATGAAGATCCTTGAGGCACAATCGGCTGTTCTCACAAATTACGAGGTCTATCAGCACGTATCAGAACAGCGCGAACGATACAAAAATGCCAAGCGCCGTGGTCCCCCAAATCTCGAGACGGTAGTTCGCGAGGTAAGATTTTTTTCATTCATTCATATCAAATTTAATGCCCAGAAACACAATTGACACTCCTCGCAGCTCCTCCAATATCTTCGCACAAACCCTGGTCCTCTAAGTCAAGAGCCCCTTCCCTACACCGAGGGATGTATTTCCAGACTTCTAGAACGCTTACGGCCTTACAACCTCGCCAAGGGTGAAGTAGTCATGATCATCAACCTGCGCCCCGCCTCAGTCGCTGCTCTCAATACTGTTGTAGAGGAGATGACTGAGCGATTTAGCGAGGAGCAGCAGGAAGCCATGGTCAATATCATCGCTGAAGTCCTCGGCCGATTCCCGACTGCGGAGGAGGGTGCTGAGGAAGAGGGCGCTGATGTTTCTATGAACGACGCCGCTGCCTGAGCTCCCAGCCCTCCAATATAATAACTAATTATCAACTCATGTTCCCACTACTCCATCACAGTATCCGCGCCTCTCAAATCTCATATTACTGCGCATGTGCTTGCGCTCTGGCTGCTTGCGCCCGTTGTCGGAGTCATGGCCGTCTTGCACAGATCTTCAAACGCTAGCTTCAACAATTCACCCGTCACCGCCGAACACTCAACATATCGATCAGCCCGTAGAGTCTGCGCAACTTGGTATCCTTCTTGCGGATATATAATTCCGTTTGGATCCTGCTCCGATCTCAGATCACGCTTCAGCCCAAGGATGATGAGCGGAAGGGTATCGATGCGTTGAAACGATCTCTTGATTTCGTCTTTCCACTATCAAGTCTGAGTTGCATGCTCGGTACCGTTTATGGCGCACTTACATATCTTTGCATATTGATCAGACTCAACCGTTGGCTGATGTCGTAACAAATGACAATGGCATCAGGATCGAGGGTCCTCCAGTTATCGGGACATGATGTGTCGAAGAACTCGAACTGAACCTTTTTGCCTCCTGTCTGAATACCGAAGACAAAAGGTTGATCCATATCACGGAGCATGGGAATCGGGTTGACTTTTTCACCTGCACTGAGCCGGCTAAGGATATGGATTTATTAGTATGATACGTCGAGGAATCGATAGAGGAATTTAGACTACATACGAGAGAAAGGTCGTCTTGCCGCACTTTTCATCGCCTACAAGGAGAATCTTGATCACCTCGGGGTCCATTTTGCATGTAGACAGTGTCAAAGTCGCTAATATGCTTATATTCAAGATTGATGTACGGAAAATGGAGCAGCTCGAGAAGAGCAGATATGGCGTCTATTAAATGAAGACCAGAGATAGAGATGAGATGAGAGCTGTACGTAACTTATCAGTCTACCCCCAACTGTGGCGGCGTCAAGTCTAGCACAGCCACATATTCATACAAGCCACATCTTGAATTGCAGCAAAGCCCTTTTCCACTTGTAAACTCTGACGGGTCTGCATATAATCGCCCAAAATTGGAACCCACCAACTTCATGAGACCCTTTAGCCGTTGTCTTGGGCGTCAAACTTCGCTCGAAGGTATAGCCAGCCGAGCTAAAACTCGAAAACCTTCGCAATCTAAACCTCAACTGAAAAAATCATCAAGTGGTGAATCTCCAAAACTTCCTGTTCAGCCTCAAGGCACCAAGCACCTCGCCATGTCTGCAGAGTCGAATTATCAGTCATGGACCAAAAACGGTCTCATTCAGAAAGTCAAGGAACTCGAGGCTGAACTCAGAAATCGGCCTGCTCCAGAGCCAAAACCTGAATCTAAGATTCAGCCTGAAAATGAAGAGGGAGATGAAGCCAAGAAGACGAAACCAAAGGGAAAGAGAAAGATGGATCCCAGCAAATATTCTACACGATTTATCGCCCTAAAGCTTGCGTATCTAGGCAAGAATTACGGTGGCTTTGAGTTCCAAGCAATGGCCAATGCTCCATCAATCGAGGAGGAACTGTGGAATGCTCTCACAAAAGCATGCCTCATCTTTCCTCAAGATGAACGAATTGTCGATTTTGACTGCTGCGAATATTCAAAGTGCGGCCGCACAGATAAAGGAGTCAGCGCCTTCGGTCAAGTCATCGGCCTTCGAGTTCGAAGTAACAGACCCTTGCCTAAAGAGCAAAGGCGTCCAAGTGAAGCAGGCGAGGCAATGGTCGTTGACGAAAAAGCGGGAGAGAATGCAGAAGAAGAACCCGTAGAGGAGACACCACCTTTCGATGATATCAAAGATGAGCTTCAATATCCTCGACTACTTAACCGTGTTCTACCCCCTGATATTCGCATCCTCGCCTGGTGCCCCTCTCCGCCACCAGACTTCTCTGCTCGTTTCTCATGCCGCGAGCGTCAATACCGATATTTCTTTACACAACCTGCTTTCACTCCTGAACCCAGTGCCCGTGGTGCAAGGAATGGCTGGCTCGACATCGAGGCGATGCGCGAGGCTGCTAAGCGCTACGAAGGCGAGCATGATTTCCGCAACTTTTGCAAGATCGACCCTGGAAAGCAGATCACAAACTTTGTTCGCACAATTTACGAGGCCGACATCGAAGAGGTCAAGGACGTCAGCTCGGCTTTGCCATATCTTTCTGGATCCACGTATGTCCCTGCAGGAGGCTTGCCCAGTGATGGTACTGTGTACCCCAAGGTGTACTCGTTCAACGTTCGAGGGTCTGCTTTCTTGTGGCACCAGATTCGTCACATGGTTGCTGTACTCTTCCTTGCAGGTCAGAAGTTGGAGACACCTGACGTTGTGACGACTCTGCTCGACGTTAAAGCCAACCCCTGCAAGCCTAACTATGTCATGGCAGACGAAGTGCCTCTAGTGCTCTGGGACTGCATCTTCCCAGGTACAGATTCTGCCCCTGTTGACCCCGCGGCCAAGAAAACCGACGGCCTTGACTGGGTGTATCTCGCAGATGACCCTGCGCTCAGCAAGCCTGGCCCCTTTGGTATCATGGATGGTATGTGGGCGCATTGGCGGGAGCGCAAATTGGACGAGTTGCTCTCAAATCAATTGTTGCAAATGGTATCTACGCAGCGCAGCAAAGATCCCTCGAGGCATGTCACTCGCCCTGAGCCCTCGGGCAAGCAGGCGAACAGTGTAGTTGTCTACGAGGGTGGTAACGGTGGCCGTATGGGTGGCCGCTACGTGCCATTGCTGCAAAAGGTTAAGCTGCAGTCTCCTGAAGAGCAAAATGAGAGATATGCTATCAGAAAGGGGTATACTAGCTCAGAAGATATGAGAAACCAGAAGGGCATTGGAAAGCGAAAGGCAGATGAGGTCATGGATGAGTAGGCATCGCACAATGCGTTTCAGGTTGAAAATAAATAAAGAATTAAATCATATCATCGTATACTGGGCACACGCATGCGATAAAAGTTGCTCTATGCGTATAGTGCTTTTTAGCCCAGTGGTTTATCCTCTCCTCTTTGCTCGTACAAACACCGCCGTACACCCCTCCAAACTTCTTCCACAATCTTTCGTCGTGGTAGCAAGCCTGGAAATACAACCACTACATCATCTTCGCCTTCGACTATGACAATGAGGTAGTATCTCACCTCAAAGCCAAGAAACGCTTCATTAACGAGAATGTCTTGGATCTTCTCGGTCGGTATGAACCTCGTCGCTGTACCTGCAAGATAACTCCCTGGACTTTCACTAGTCTGCACACCCAAGCCTCTCATGACGAGAATGCTCTCGCTTACGTAGCCTCTCCGACTGGATAGCCATAACACAGCTATACTAACAGGAACGAGGACAGATAGTGGTATGTTTTGCGTAAGAGCGGCGGTCGAGGTTGGTGCACGGAGGTATGAAGCTGGTATGATCTTGAGAAGGGAGGGAGGGGCGTAGGCGAGAAAAGGATGTAGAGTAAGGCGCGCGTGGAGTAGAAGAAGCGCGAGGATCGAGAGGAGGATTCGAGAGATGATGAGTAGTGTATGTAGAGCTGGTGGTATCGGCCGGAGAGTCGTGACAGTGAATTCGGCGGTTGTTGGAGAGGGATGTCGAATGAGGAGACGGGGTGATGTTGAGAGCATTGTGACAGGTTGGCGTATGTTCAATGATCGATCATGGCTGTAAATGGTGTTTGAGGGAGATTGAATCTTTGGCGAAGTCGATCGGGCCCGTTGTTATTGAAACATGATTGTGTTGTGTAAGTGTGATGGCAATGCGATTGCAGTGGTGTTGGACCTAGGGTAAATCGAAGCTGTTCACTGCCGATCCACTGAAGCTACAGGTGTCGCCCACCGTAGCGCCCCAGCACAGCCCCACCAGCCACACTCTGAGGGGAAGGGTATATAAGTTGTCAGTACTGACATGATTCTCGACTGTAATGGTCTAACGGTGAAGGCGTTCAAACCCGCTCAACCGCCCATCCCAATACTGTAGTACTTCGGTACCTCAGCCCTCCGCCGCGCCCCGCCCGAACGCTGCGGTGGTCGCCCACTCGTGCAGGTAACTCACGATGCTGGAACTTTGCGGCCCTAAGCATTGGAGATGACCCTTGAGGGAGGTTTCACTCTGCAGAGATCTCTCCCCCGTCGCGTGGCGGGTGGGAACACGTTAGTGCGGGGGGATTTGGGATGGCAAGTGGATGAGATGGAGCAGCCAACTGTCTTTTTTTGCATTTTTTGATAATTGACATTAGTGAAGAATACCATTGTAAAATATTGATATCGCCTCTTCTATAGTCATTCAATCATATGTCAGCTTCTTGTACTCATGCGACATCGGGTTGTGGTGATTCGAACCATCAAGTGCATCCTATGCCTGGCAGACATGAAGCTATCACCACTCCTTTGCTTCGGAAAATCTGCTCCCACTACACACATACACACAAGTGACAATTGTTATCAAGTATAACCATAATGCAAAGCAGTTGTTCATTCAATTCGTAAATACTAAAACCCTCCGGGGGAATCAAAATGCATTTCCAATTCTGCCCGTTTCAATCCATTCCTACCCATCTTTCACCCATATCATTTCCATTTCCAATTCCCTTTTCCTCATCCCCTAACTCAAACAAGTGCCGCGAGGCAACATTGTATAAAGCAGTCGCTACGTTAATTCCCTACCACTCACTTCACCCATTTTTCTCACCCACCAGCCTCCGTCAGCCTGGATCCCCCGGATACCCAATATTTACTACCTCCAACATTCCGCCTTCAGGTAAATATAACAAGATACAGTACGAGTACTGCCTCCATCCTCCTCAAACATAGTCTGTAAGTAAATGTGGTCGTAATTTGCAGAAACCTTCATGGTCCGACCAAAAAGAAATGTAAAGTCGTATACGTTCATTGGCATCCTTGCCAATAATGCGAAAGGGCCTCGAAAAATCCGAAGGTGATATCAAGAGCGAAGAGAGAAACAAGATGGAGTAGTTTCCAGTCGTCATACAGCTAAATCCTTGAAGGAAAGGACAGAAGTATAATGCCAAAATGCGAGCCCCGAAGGACTATGGTATCGACTCGGGAGGAGAGAGAACGCCGATCGCCATGCACAGAATCGAACAATACAAAGTTTATAGGGAGTGGTAGAAAGGAACGAAATAATGCACAGCGCGCTGGCCACCATCGCGAGTGACTTCCTAGATCATCTCGTTTCGGTTCAAGCCAGTCGACAGGTGCTTGTTTCGAGAATCAATGGGCGAACGCAAAACATCGGGGTTGAATGACACCGGTGGGGGAGATTTCATCTGTCGAGGCATGGGAATGCTCTCGTAGGGAGCCTCAAAAGGAGGAGACCGGACATACTCCTTTCGACTGCGACTGGCAGAACGGAGTCGCTCAGTGGCCTTGTGAATGCGGCCTGAGATGCTGCTGCTATCTCCGATGCTTCTGCCTCGGTTGTGACTCCTGTGGGAAGCTGGGGCCGGAGGGCTGGCCTCCGAAGCTTGGTCATTGCCAGATGACAAATCGTCGTCCATGACAATCTCAATCATGCCTGATGCAACAGCGCCAGCCTGCTGATGTCGCTGGGCGTGTTGCAGAGGGGCAGGAGGCGGTGGAGGGGGTGAAGCCAAATGCCTGAGTTCCTTAAGAACTGGGGGTGCTGGAGGAGGAGGAGGTGGTGGCATAGGGTCTTCATGAGAACGTCGTCGCTCACCAGGGACAACCTCTTCGATGCGTCCAACACTGTTCTTGCGTGCAAAGCGAGCAGGGCGCTGGCCAGGCTCATCGGGAATGGGGGCTG